CATTCATTTTAAAGCAGAATATATTTACAATTTATTTCCAAAGAAAAATTGTACTCCTCGAATTCACTACAATTCCCCGACCTAAGTTTTCCAAAGCCGGTTTATTTTAGTGCATTTACCGTACTTTAAGCTAAATGCTTCTTGTCTGTGGTGATGACATTTCCCATTTCATCTTCCAACCGGGCAACACCTTCATTATTCGATGTCAATTAATAATGAATGGTATTTAACTAAATGTAGACTCTATCACCTTTGTATTTCGTTTGGTGGGTTAAGAGCAATGCCATGGGAAATGGGTGCACATAGGCGGCTAGACGTCTCTTGTTTCACATCATAATAGGGAAAAGACGACATAATACAATAAATATGACAAAGTAGTCTGAGTGTCTGTGTAAACTACGTGTCTATGGAACAGTGTTGTCAACCATTGTGAACTCAATGAATTCATCCACATAGTTGTTATGGACAAGCTAACTAAAAAAGGCCAGATCCGAATGCAAATCAAGAAAATGCGCTAGAAGTATGCAACCTTTGCATCTGTGGATAGACACAGATTTTGTGACGGAAAATAAATTGAAATTTTGGCTAATCATAAAAACTCAAAATGTTAACCTAAGAGAAATCGAAATACGAATGAAACGAAACGAAAGAAAGGATACATATTTGAAGCTCTCCAAATTTCCCATGGTTGATCATGGTTTCTTAAATGTGGTCTAATTAACTACAATACTCAGGGCTATAGACATATCTTAACATTTTTCCTATATTCCACTCAAAAACGCTTAATGTGTAATTATTTTATCACTAAATTGACATTACTTATTCTTTGTGTACGCAAGTATGTGTGTGTATGTGCGTGTGCACTTGTTCCATTGGCGAGATAATCATCTCCGTCAATGAAAATGCAAAACCTGTCGTGATAATGAAAGACGTTTATGTGAAAGGTCGTTATGACGATGGCTAAACTAAAGCTATTAAAAATCAGCCAGACAGTTTAGCTGTGGGTAGGAATTTTACTGTCTGAGTTTTTTTGTTTGCAATCATAATATTGAAATTGAGGCCCTTGATGTGGAACAGAGAGGAAAAGAAAGAAATTTAGAAAAAAAAGCAAAGATGGAATATACATTAAAAGCAGATCTTAGTTAGAAGTGAGGGCAATAGGTCTGTTTGATAATTCAATCATATTTATACCCTCCACCATAATATGGAGGGTATATTAAGTTTGTCATTTCGTTTGTAACACCTCGAAATATACATTTTAGATCCCACAAAGTATATATGTTCTTGATCAGCATAAAATTCCATGTCGATTTAGCGATGCCTGTCCATTTTTCCGCCTCTGGAAATTACTCTAGCTTCCGAACGAAATGAAGTAGGTTGATAAAATTGTACTCAAATGTATATTATGTCTGCAGGACTTTTGGTATTGAAAATGTAGCTCCACGTTTTGGTATAGCCCCCTTATTACGGTACCTCCCGAAATTCAGTATTTTGATGACTTTAGCAACATTATTCTTCGGAATTGTTTCAAATTAGGTATTTGAAGCTCGTAATGGATACAACAGCCTATGACAGAAAATTGTCTGTGCAGATCCACGTCTTCGTATAGCCCCCATATACGACACCTCCCGATATTCGGTATTTTGATGATTTGGGTTGACGAACAATATTTTGTAAAAATGTATACAAATTGTTACAAATTATATGGGTTATCATACACGGCCAACGTGATTGTTAAGCTGTTGTTAAATCTTTAGTCACATTTATTTAATTCGAAAACGCTTTCAAAACAGCATATATTTGGACGCGTATTTCATATTGTGCAGAATTTTCCTGAAAAATGTATTATGTGGCCGTTTGTATTTTATTTTGCTCAGGGCCACTTGCAATCCGGTCCCTTATTTTTATCATCTCTTTTTTAGTTTGTTCATTCCCCTCATGAGAAATTTTAAAACTCATCCCATTATAAATTATCACCCTGTTTTAAACCCATATTTGGAAAGGTATTATCTGTTTAAAAATAATTACATAAATGCTGATAAGAAACAATGCACGAAGCATGGAAGTCGGATTGAGAAAAGTCAATGACCATTGAAATAAATTTAAATTTAAAATAAAGATGAAACCGGAACAGTTTTTTTCTTTGATAAATTTTTCAGGAAAAATTTGGGTTTGTTGTTTATTTTTACATTTGAGGGAATGTATGCAAACACACCTAAATTTTACTGATCAATTGGGGTGGCCCTTTGCTTTTTGTGAGATTTTTTGAATATTTTCAACATTTCCGGAACTATATTCTTGTTTTATTAAAATATGGCATCTACAGGGTGAGATAAAAAATTGCAACAAAGTCACACGCCATAATTTTTACATTTTTTTTTAATTTTATTGAATGAAAGCAAAAATTGTCGGAAATAGCATCAAATTTTAAAATAAGTTTAATTTTGTTCGAACTTTTCACCTTGGCGCGAATTATGGCCTTAAAACGGCCAATGAACCGTCACAAGCTGCCCGAATGTTGCTCTGCGATATTTTGGCCCATTCCTGGCGAAGCGCATGCTTGAGGTGATCGACACTTTGGCTTTATTTAGTGCCAACCTTGCTTTCCAAAATACTCCAGACACAATAGTCCAACGGATTGGTATCCGGAGATTTTTGTGGCCATTATGCGCTGGAAATGATTTGTAATTTTGGCGCGTGCTGAGTGCGATGGTGCTGAGTGCTGTTGGAATGTTCAAGGTCTGCGGCCAAAATGTTTTCGTGCCCAAGGCTTTAATACACCCTCCAGAATATTTTCGCGATAATATTCGGCATTTATTCTGATGCCTCGGTCGATTAATACGAGCGGAGAGCGACCATCGGCTGTTATGGCGGCCCATGGCCGGCGCTTGAGTTCTGGTGGCCAACCGAAGGTGCACATTTTCAGCTGACCTCCTTGGCAAGTAAACACGATCAACGAATGCTGAACAACGAATGTTTTCTCGTCGGAGAAAACCAAATTCGACAGTTCACCACTTTCGGCCAAGCAACTCTTTAACTCTTTTGAGTTTATTTTCTTCCTGTTGCGATATAAGTTCTTGCACTTTTTGGAATTTCAATGGCTTACACCGAGCTCATTTTGTAATATTTTCCGAATGGAATATTGCGATATGTTCGGCTCACGAGCCATTTTCGGCCTTTTCGAACCATTTCTGCTGTTTTGTTTCGTCCACTTCTTTAACATTGGGCTACGCTACCAGTATCACGGTAATGAGCGATGGTACGAGACACAAAAGATTTATTCACATTTAAATGCTGGAGTGCTCCAATGATAGCCACTTATGGATCTCCAGCCAAATATAAAGAAATTACACTATCACGCTTGAAGTCCATCACGAATAACTTTTTTTCTGAAAAAATTCTCACCAAAATGCTTTTGTACGCTTGTAAACAATATAACGAGCTTTCACTGGAATAATTTTAACAGCTGTCGAACGAGTGGCTTAGAAATGACAGCAGTATGAAGTTGATTGCAGTTTCTTCATCCCACCCTGTATATACTTTGTGGGGTCCAAATGTATATTTCAAGGTGTTACAAACGGAATGACAAACAAAGTATACCCTCCATACTATGATGGAGGATATAAAAATTCCTGATGTAAACCGTTGGAATGAATCTAAGCGGACACTTGCTAGTACCTATGTATAGTCCTCATTCTTGCCGCCTTTTCTGAATCATTTCTGTTTGTAAAAGTTTGGTTTAATTCCGAAAGAGGATATAATTGATATGTACCCTTGAGCTTCTTAATACAATATTTTACTCAGGGAAGTCTGCATTTCTCATTTAATATTCTGTAAGAATCCATGATTTTATCTAATTATTTTAGATCTGACATTTTTTGGAGTCACTGTAAATCCCTTGATATTCTTAATTGTTCATGTAGAAATCAAAACTTCCCAAAAGATGAGCCTCCAAAATGCCCTTGTGGTAGGCGGTTGCTTGAAAATGTTATTAATAGATTAATAGAATTTAGTATTTTTTAATTATAAAGCAATTTTGCTTTGAAAATAATAATTCTACCAAATCCAATTCCCCATCAAAACTCTCCACCAGTTAAAGCACTTCGAGAAGAAGAATTCTCTTTAACAACTTGAATGCTATTTAAAGACTTCTTTTGTGACTGTCGATTCTCTTTTATACCACTTATCCTTGGCAAAAGCACAGTCATATACGCATATAAATAATTTATAAAAGAATTGAAAGGAGTTCCAACGCCATCACTCTTTGGCACAACGACAAAGTACAACAAAAACCCCGGCCCTAAACCGAAGATGGTCGAGCAACAGCAGAAACAATCACATAAAAAGGCTACCACCAACAAAAACAGCACCGCAGGATGTACCTACATATGCATGCAGGAGGTAGGAGGAGGGTCAAGAGCTGGTGGTGGTGCTGAGTGCTTTTGTCAAAAGGCCTAACTAAATAAGCGAGCCAACAACAGCATCGCCTCCGCCAGCCAAGTCACGTGAGTGGAAAAAACTGATAATTTATGGATGTCAAACACACGCACAACGCAGCAGTGCCAAACAGTGACATACATAGAAATCCAGCGAAGGAATACATTTTGGGCAGAGATGGCATTTAAGGTGTCTATAGCACACAGGCTGGGCGACAAGGCAATCAGCAAATCTTCGGCTTGGTATGTGGGCGTTTTATTCCCCGTCTACCTCTCTTTCTCTCCCTCTCACTCTGCCATTATTCTCTCCTGCATAAATTCCTTGGTACTGTTGTGTTGTGTGAACTTTATTCGTTATGCAGGGGAATGTGGGGAGACAAGGGAAGGAGGGAGGAGTGATGGTATTTCAGCATTTGCAACAAAAACCATGTACACCAAATAAACAGCATTCCAAATGACCTTGAAGAGGATCTTGACATAGGATAAGCATTCCACTCAACCTCTCTACCCAGTTAAGGATATTTACAAAACATTATCGAAGATGGCGCAGGCGATGATACTTACGTGTTGAAGGTTTTTTGGTATTCCTTGATTTGTTTGCGTGAAAATTCATGAAATTCGGTATAGACATTGACCACCTTGAAGGTGTGTGGCACCTCAATGCCTGCCTCCTGTGAATCGATAATGACCTGGCGACGATTCAAGATGTGTGACAGCTCCGAGGAATCGGTGCCGGAACCGGTGCCCGATTCACTGTTGCGACCCAGGGAAGAACGACGACCATTTGAGGTGGTAACGCCCGATACGGACGAGGCAGATGAAGCATTCGAGGAAACCGACATTTTGTTAAGCTATTCAAAATCACAGAAACTTTTTAAAAAATATATCACTGCCCTTTTGCGATGTTGATGTTTTTGTCAGTTAATTCACTTCACTTTTGAAAAGTGGCTATTATTAAAGCTTCTTTTTCGTTGTGTAGATAAATAGATGCTGCCTCTGCTTTTGTCGTGGGCTATTCCTTTTTGTTGGGCTGGGTTAGGTTTGTCAGTTGGTGAGTTGATGGTGATACACAACGACGGCGAGCGATGATAGTAACCGTGGGATAACTAGCAAAACACACCCTTAATTTCCAAAGGATCACGATTTTAATTCAATCTTCTTTGAAAATAATATTTGAAGCTTTTATTTTCCAAATTGTTATTGTAATTTAATAAATGCAATCAATAGCTTTCTTTTGTTTTTATTTTAATTTATTGTTTAATAATATGCCGTGTTTCGTATTTTCCGTTATTTTTTGTTTGTCCGGTTTGGTTTTAATCAGCCGCGCGACACAACCGTCTCACACAATGTCAAAATTACGAATATTGCCAATTGCTGCAAAGAGAGAGAACTAGGGATACTTAAGTCGATTGCTGACTATCGAATGAAGGTTGAAAACGGAAACAAAATAAATGATGCCAAGTGTGAAAAAACAGAAAATAAGTGGTGCCAAGAGAGATTTAACGGCGGATTGAAGACAAATGGTGTCAATATTTTAACAATTGAACTGTTATTTTCAAAATAATTGATAGCAGAAATTATGTAAAATATATATTTGTCTATTTTAATACCCTCCACTTTTGGGTAAAGAAACCATTCTTATATAAAAGTATCTCAATTAAAACTTGCTCCACTTTAAAATACAAATACCAGTAAGACCGTTTAGATAAAGATGAGAAAGTCATCGGCTGGGTTCTTCGGAAAAGAACAAAGGAGCGCAGAGCCAAAGTCGAACTAAGTCATCCCAAAACCCTTTTGTTCCTCTACGAAGAAGCCAGCCGATGATTTAAGCCAATAAAATAAGAGTTTTATGTATTTTCACCTTAATGCTGTTAAACATTCCAAAAAACCATAAAGTGGGTGAGGGTGCAAACTTTTGGACAAATCCGTGGAAAAATGTGACAAAAATCATCAAAACACCGACTATCGGGAGGTACCGTTATATGGAGGCTATACCAAAACGTGGACATATACATACTATGTTCCGCCACCGGAGCTAGAACTTATTATGACCTACAAATACCAAATTTTACACAAATCTGAAGAAATATGTGGCAAAAATAATCAAAATACCGAATGTCGGGAGGAAACGTTATTTGGGGGCTATACAAAAACGTGGACATTTACATACAATGTTTCGCCACCGGAGCTAGAACCCATTATGTCAAATACGAATTTTTAGACTAATCCGTGAAAAATGTGTCGAAAATCATCAGAATACCGAATATCCGGTATTTTATTATACCAAAACGTGAACTGATGTATCTCATTTTCAATACCAATCATCCTAGCCACAATACAAATTGTTTTGCCAAGTTTTGAAGCTCTACGAGTTCCTGTTTGTTGAAAATGAAAATCGGCCAAATATAGTCATTTTTCCAGTCTTATGTCAAACGTCGATAATTTCATAGATCTGAATTCGAATTCGTAGGGATGAGATGAGAAGGAAAGAAAACTTTTTTAAACTCGCAATACAAGGTGGTTGAATTCTCTTTCTTTCATTTTCGTGTTGAAAAAATAAAAATTAACGAAATTGTTGTTGAATGGGTAAATGATCATGTTCTTATTTGTTTGCAACTTTGAAACAATTTTCACTTACGAAATCAACTGAACCTCAGAAAAGATTCCACTTCTTATGTCAAATGGGCATCACTTCCCAATGGCGCTGACGATGTCGATTGATTGCATTTGCAACACTCCAACATTTGAGCAACTCTTAGTTTTTTACACCTTTTCAAAATGTATTTTTGCCAACAATTGCAAGTACTTACAAGAAACTACAATTTTTGCCATTTTCTTTGATATCATAAAGGGAAAATTGGTCATCGTAGTAAAAACTTTTACATTCTTACAGTTCTGGAACAGACCAAATTTGAAACAAATAATTCCGTTTATACTGATATCATAACATTATTTTTTATTGCATTACTTACACACATAGTACATAGTACTGACATCATTTTTATCATTTGTGTGTTCGATTACAGATGTAATAAATAACATGATAAAGCTGCTATTTAAAGCTGGAATTTACATATGTGCTGTCATTTTATTATCCAATACACATGGATGTGTGTATGTCAAAATTACGATGACTCATAACTTTTGATATAACTCACTCACATGTATTTTTTATTTCCTTTTACAACACTGTGTTTTATAAAAATATATAAGAATTTATGGAAGAATTGTAACCGCAAATTCAATTTTACAAACTAAAAACACTTTTGATTAAATTATATTTTTCCAATGAGAATAGGACTCGCTGTGATCAAAAAAGTATATATGTACCATGATAGAAGAATAGAGGTAGACGCATCGACACAGCTGCTGGGACAATGAACTGTCAAACCAATTTTGAAATTAAAAATGTTGAATGAAAAATTATTTAAATTTGTAAAAATTGTTGAAAAACGCGAATTATAATAACCTCCGAATGACGTCGTATAAGAAAACATATAAAAATCTACTTATATTTGAAAAAAAAAACAATTAAATTTTTTTGACACATCAATGCTCCCAAGCGTATTCAATGCATCTACCTTCTACTACCATGATATGTACTTTACTCATGTACTTCACTCACGTTCATGTATCACACCATGTGTGCAACTTCTACATATGGAAAATTTGACACTACATATGGAAAATTTGACACTACATATGGAAAACCCTTATCGCCTGGTAGCAGATTAAGTTGGTGTCTCAGACATGCCGTGAAAGAAAACGTAACGTCCGTGGTAGAAGAATACAGGTTGATGCATTAACACTTGGGAACATTTACATGTCAAGAAATTTTAAGATTTCTCAAAAATAAATAGATTTTTGTATTTATGTTTTCTTATACCACGACTATTAGATGTTGTATTTAATTATTACAAATTTGAATAAATTTTCATTCAAAATTTCCATTTCCAAAATTGGTTTAACAGTTCATTGTCCCAGCAGCTGAGTCGATTCGCCTACCTGTATTCTTCTACCATGGTAACGTCAATAAATAGTTTAAAGTTTGAACAGCACTGTAGTTCTAATGAAAGTCGAACTATGCTGCCGCTCACAATTTGTAATTTTGATAATAATAAATTCAACCTATTACTGTTTAATCTTTAATCACAATTAAATTATTATATTATTAAAAATATCTGTTAAAACATAAATTTTGTAGCTATCATAAAATTCTACTAGAAAGCTCAAAATGTATGCAATTTTTTAAAACAAATTACTAAGAACAGGAAGAGAAGTCTCAAATATGATTTAGTAAATTCAAACCTTATACAGTTATATTTTCCATTTTATTGGAAAATATCTAATTAGAAATGTATGAGAATATATCTTTGCCAACTAAATAGTACTAAATTGAAATACGTCAATATTATGAAAACTTCATTTTAAAGTGAGGCTATTTCACACAATCTTGATCAGTTCGATTAAGAGTTATCGATAATTAACGAAACCAAAAACAACCAATAGATGGCGCAGAATATCACAGCACAGACACATTCATGTATCATAGTACTAAAACTACGCCATTCGGCTAAAATAATCATTGAAATTAAAAATTTGTGAAGATTTACTTGAGTTGTTTTCCCAATTGACATATACCCTGTTTCAGAACCGGCAAAAATTACTGACTTTTCCTTTATGATATCGAAAAAGAAGTTGCGAAGCTATTAGATCTTGTAGGTTCTGGAATAGGCTATATACTAAAACATTTTCGCCGTAATACATCAAATGCAAGTATTGATTATTCACTAATCGATAAAAATATGTTGGACGCCAACCATTCCTCGTGTGTATGAAAAATACAGATGGCATTGATGTTCAAAAAACTTTTAAATGGACGTGTATAGCTTTGACAACAGATGGCATTGTAAAATCAAGAAATATCGCAGTTTTCGTCTAAAAACTTAGAACTAAATTAAATTTGCCGCAAATATACGAAACCAGAGCGCTTCTTCTTTTTCACTTCGGTGAAATATTTTGCCGCAAATTAGAAAAAAAAATTTCATGCAGGGATCTGTTTCTGGATGTGGAAAGAAATGTAATGCCAACAATACTTTCTGTTTTTTAAATGTTTGTTTAATTAAATTATTGAGGTAATGAAAAAAAAAAAAAACACTCAGGGGAAATCAATGATATTATGTGAAGTTGAACAAATTCGGCCGGGCCGAACTCTTCACCTTTTGGTAAAGAAAACATTTTTATATAAAATAGCTGAATTCAAACATGTTCCACTTTAAACTACAAATACCAGTAAGACAGTTTGGATTAAGCTCTTAAAATTTTCAAAAAACTATAAAGTGGGTGAGGCCGTTGTATGGGGGCCATATCAAAACGGGAACTTCTATAGACAATTTTAGACTTCATGGATTGTTATCTACCAAATCTTCTTAAATATCAAAATTTTAAAGAATTTCGTGAGTAAATGGATTAGGATTATCAATATACCGAATATCGGTGGGTATCGTTATATACGCCATAGGAAAACGTGGACCTATACACACTATGTTCCGCCACAGGAGCTAGAACCCATTACGAAAAACCAAAAACCAATTTCTGGACAAATCCGTGGAAAAATGTGGCAAAAATCACCAAACTACCGAATATCGTATCGTCATTTAAACAGACAGACGGACACTGTTAAATCGACTTAGAATTTTATGCTGATTATGAATATATATACGACGAATATTTAGGGATGATACAAACGGAACGACAAAGTTAATATACCCTCTTTCACAAGGTGGAGGGTATAAAAATAAACATAAGGATCGAGCACTTCCTGTGCCACGGCTTCCTAATTGGCCAAGCCTTTTATACACTACGCCACACAGTGGTAACATCTACAAGGAAACGAAATAGAAAAATAGTTCCTTTTGGTGATCTCCATGGAATCACAATCAGAATCGATTTATGCATGTCCACCCTTCTGTCCATTTATTTTTGTAAGCAAAGTACAGATCGAAGCTTTCTACATATCATTTGTTTGGCTCAGGGACGAATCCTATTGAAATTGATGATAATCGGTCTAAATTTAGATACAGCTACCATGAATATCTTCAATTTTATTGTGCGCCATATGTGTAATATTCGTCGAAATGGCATTTATTTCGGCACAACCGACCAATGTCAATCTAGAAGCAAGTATATCAAATTTAGTGAAAATCGGTTCAGATATATCTCCCAAATATAGGTTTCATCGATTTGGTGTTTGACTCTCTCACATTGGTAATATGCACTTCACAGCAATGCTATTTGGTACCAGATATCAGAAACAGCTCACGAATACCTCGGCCCAATTTTTTCCAGATCGGTTCAATTTTGGATACAGCTTCCATATTTATCTTCATCTGATTTCACGTTTTTTGTGCACCAAATGTGTAATATCAGATCAAATTGAATGGGTTTTGCGAAACTCAACCAAATGTATCGTGGGAGCAAATACGAAATTTGGAGAAACTCGGTTTCCATACATTTATAGCTCCGATACATCGTTTTTTATTTAAGGCTGCTATAGCAATACTATTTGGTGCGAGAGTTACAAACAAAAATACAGAACGAAACGGTTGCAAACGTTTCACATACCTAATTTTCATACTCTGATTTCCATTACCTTCTGTATAATTCAACAGTTCAACTTTTGTTAATATCGACAAATGTAAACTGGAGAAAATCACACGAAAACGTTTAAATTGTGCTCTGATTCAGTTTACCTATGTCCGCTGGGTTAGGTCTATGGTCCATAAACAAACTATATCCGTCTTTCAAAAATTAAAAAGTTTCTGTATACCAGATTCTTTCATTAAGAGTATATTAAGGTCCTCGGCAATCTTTGTTTAAACCTCTGAAGACCAATTACAATAACTAAGATACTTTTTTTATTTCAAATCATGTGTATAATTCACCAAACATAGTAAATAATAGTAGATACTCATTTCATTATGTATGTATTTGTTTCTTTGCCATCGCTTAAATTGTTTTAAATAACCCTCTATATAACCAGTCTAGGCATACCATTACAAATTAATAACGTAGTCATATTTATTTAATTATATACTTGGAACTAAAATCTTTGTTAAATCAATTTTGAGTGTTTCTTAAGAAATTAAATCCATTTTGGATTTGCCACTCTCCGACGATTCCTCTTCGGGCACATAGGTTGATGACAGAGCTTTGCCGCGATGATTAAATGTATAGAATGAGGGGAAGTTGCCCAATGTATCCCAGGACTTGCCTTGCATATCAACGGTTGCACGAATCTCCTTGAAATTGCCTACAATCTGTATGACATTGTAAATGACCACAATCAAACTGACAACGGTTTGAACGACAATCTGAAATAATAGGATAATATGTTAATAATCGTGAAAGCGAGTATAACTAGAAAATTATGAGAAAGGTAAGCACCAAATTATAAATTTTTTTGGAGAAAAAATCCCAATCGAAATAGCTATTATACCCTTTTTGCACTATATAAAACTTTTTCTCAGATAATACTTATAGAATAATCAATAATAGCTTCCAAATTTAATTGTAGTGAACAATAATTAAATAATTTATCAAATAATATTTAACATCGTATAAGTGGCAATTAGCTTTTTTCATTTTTTGTGGTATAAGTTTTCAAGATTTCATGGTTTTAAGCATTTGGTAATGTTCTTCTAACCGAGTTTACAGTATTTTTTTCTTGATATAAAAAGAAGAACATAATCTCAAAATATTAAGTTCTATCACAGGATTAAATGTCGACACATATCTTGAAGTTTATGCTTAAAATGTTATATTGAGTTCAGGAGAAATATGTTAGGTACACTATTACTAAAGATTGTAATGCTTTTGCAAGTTATTTGTAATTCATGCATGTAGGTCACTTATATAAACAAGCCCTGTTATTTATATAAAAAGTATGACATTTAAGTTCTTTCATCATAAGGAAACCTATATTGTTATAGTTGTCTGAGGAAACAGAATTTCCAAATGTATTCCTTACAAAATAACTCCCTAAATTTTCATGGCGGGGAGTAATTTAACACAAAAATCGTCTACAACTTATTCCACGGAGAGCTTTTAAAGCACTTTGGTTCGCTCACGCAATAACCTGCGTATCCTTTTGTGGCTCATGCGAAAACATGTAGCCCAAGTATACATTCAGAAATGATTGAAATTCTTTTTGGATGCCAGCAGGTCCAGAAGCAATGTGTTAGCACTGGGATTTACAAAACTTATTTGATTTAAGACGCAGAACACTTCATTATAAGACACATTTTTTTCATTTTCACACATCGGTTGGAAGAAATATTCTCTATATTTCTGCCGAGTTGAGATGCAGTCCATCCATCCTTTGCAAATGATTATTGTATGTCTTAAACGTTTCTTTTCAACACCTTCACTTGGTACTTACATCCAATGGTAGTTTTGTGAATTCCTGTTCAGTTAGCCGCAAATATGTACGATCTGAAAAAGAAAACAAAGTTAATATGGAGTGCTCTACATTTTGGACGAACTAATAAATTTTAATCTGCGGGGTCAGCTGTATGAACACACACACAAAACTATAAACCCCACCAACAACAGCAACTGCACCATTCATACTTACAATGAGCTGCCGAATATGCGGCATGCAATAAACTGGCAAAACCGGCAACTAGGAGAATTTTATTGACAATTGTGTTGGCCATCTTTTAATTAATTTAATAAATATATCTTTGGCAAAGATTTAATTCAACAATTTGTGTGTGAAGAAATTAATGAAAACCACCAATCTAGCTGCTGCTGTCAATTAAAATGACAGTTCAACAGTATCTCTCAAACTGTAAATAGTCCAAAGCAGAGTTGTTTTGAAAGGTACTTAAAAAAGTGCTACCTCATCAAAAAATGTAACGATGTCATATTTAAATTTTTATTGCTCGTTTAGACAACTATCATTGACAGCTATTTATGCAATGCGAATGACAAAATTTTGTGGCATCTGTAAAAGCAAAATGATAATGATGAATTGATAGCTTGATTTTATAGTTTTAAGAAGTTTGAAATTTACACCACAAACAATATTGCCTATATTATATTATAAGTTGGATGTTTTCAATGATATATTATGAAAACATTGTATATTATATATTAGCATTAGAATACTTTGTATTATTTTACGATGAGAAATTCCTTCGCTCGTAAAATGATTCAAAATTCAAATGTTCAAATTAACGGAAGACTATCAAACTTCATTTAAATCTATCACTTAAATTTGTAAAAATACCTTTCGTTTCCCACCGTTTCACTGGACTTTGCTGTAAAATGACAAATTGTTGTAACTATTGTTACCAAATATCCATGGTAGAAGAATATAGGTAGACGTATCGAGACAGCTGCTGAGACAATGAACTGTCAAACCAATTTTGGAATTGAAAATGTTGAATGAAAAATTATTTAAATTTGTAAAAAATTTTGAAAAACACGAATTATAATAACCTTCGAATGACGTCGTATAAGAAAACATATATGACTCTACTTATATTTAAAAAAAATAAATTTTTTTGAAATGTCAATGCTCCCAAACATTGATGCATCTACCTGTATTCTTCTGCCATGCAAATATCGAATAGAAAGGCACTATTTATATCGATTTCAAAATATTTTTTAAACTTTATTTAAAATCTCTAAACGTTTACATTTATTTTGTTTTATTTATTTTCGAAACTACTCCCGATACCTTAGTGTCTTCCATAGCGCCACCGTTGCAACCATTCCCTTTACACAGCTTACACTTGGAACCGGATTCCAACATACATTTGTAATATTCATAGGTATTTGAGGCACAACCACGTACCGAGTGTTCCTGAGTCAAACTGAAATATTCATAGCAACCTTCTTTGGCACCACTCGTCGGTTGGAATTCATTTCTGGCACAAGGTGTGGGTTGGTCAGCTAATGCCTCCTTGCAATTGTTGGCATCCGTACCACACTGATAGCAGTGAAGACGTTCGGGAGGGAATGATCCACGATTACAAAAGTTACCCTGGCAACTTTGACACTCAAGCACATTGTTGAGCGTGCAGTTTAACTGACCGGTTTCACATCCACGCTTGGTAATGCCATCGGCAAATGTTGCTATGACACAATTGGCTCCAGCTTGCTGACACTCTTCGATTTCCAGAAATCCGGGTTGTTGCCATGCTGCACAGTCGGGGTAGTGTTCCGTGGAACATTGATAGCAGCGTATAAACGGTGTGGCATTACATTCGGTGCCCATGTCGCATTCGTATTGACGATTTATATCAGTTCGCTGCGGGGGACGGGCACAGCCACGTTCCACATGCCAATTTTGGTATTCCACGGCGAAACACGACGAGGCTTCTGGCGAGCCACAATAAGTGGATCTAATCAAGCTTGGGACATAACGACAGTCATCACTGCCCGTCTCTGAATTACAGACTAGGCATTGCTGGAATGGCAAATTGCCAGAATTGCAGAGATCAGGTCCTGTGCATTCCGTTAAACGATCTTTATTTTGACGCATTTCATCGGTCATATGACGATCGGAACAGCCACGCACTACATGATCCAAATTTTTGTAAATGAAGCAGGTGTTGCTGCTCTGCAATGTTGTTGTCATTTGGCACTCCTCAAATTGGGTAATATTGGACTTGGACGTCAGATCCATTTTACATCCCTGGCTTTGTTGCGAATCACAATAGGCACAGCGCAAACTATCCGTTGACGAATTATCGTTACAGCCATTGTAGTCACAGAATATAGCCCTATCTGAGATGGTGTGATTCCGATCCGATTTGCACCCTCGATAGACTTCAGTTGCGGAACGTATGTCCAGAAAACAGGCATCTTCTTCGTGAAAGTTGCGGCATGGATGTGGTTTTCCCATCGGTTTCAGTTGGCAGCCTTCGCCGCTGCATTGGTGGCACTTCATACGGCCGGGTGGATAAACACCCTTGTTGCAAAGATTGATGTCGCATGTTTTCCGATACAGTGCATCAATGCTGGGCGTTGAAGCCGAACAACCGCGGTAGGTGATGTCGTCAACTGCAAAGGTAAATGGAAAATAATCATGATTAACAGTTTTGCGAAATTGCGTGTTCAAATGGAAGATTCCCGCAGATAGTTCGCATAATTTGCAAATATCATGACCATTGACAATTTTCTTCTCTGGGTCACAAAGGTCACTGACCGAAATAGCCATGGCATGACACTGCATTTGTATCTCTTAACTCATAATTTTTATTTCTTACTTATGGCAGTAGCACACCAAAGCGAGGTTGAACCGCAGTCCTCCAAGGGTAGTTCCGTGTCATTCAAGGTGGTGGCACAGGCTTCCAGGGAAATTGAATCACATTTGTAGCAAACAATGGCATTGCAAATACCTAAAAGGCAATGTAAAAAATTAATGATACAGGTATATTCAATTTGTTTATTTAATATCTTGAATATCTACAAAAAGATACCATTTTTTAGTTACAGGACTGTGTTTATAAAAATGAAAAGAGAATTAAGATCAAATTTCTGAAAACTCATTAGGATTAATAAACATTAATGTTAATGAGAACTACATACCCTCTGCACAAGTAATGAAAACTAATTATTCCCTAAAATAATGAATTATTCCTAAGGAGGTGAAATAGCTTACCCCAAGTGACATATGTGAGGCTTAATGTCGACAAAAAATTTCAATCCATAAAGAATTGTAAAATAGACTAATATAGAATCAATAACCAGACAAAGCGGCTGAATCTAGAATTTTGACAATTTTCAAGTGGACCAGTCCTGGTGCGTAGGCGTGTGATAAGGCTGTGTTTTAAGAAATTAGTATTAAAAGGTGGTTACAAAAAGTACAACAAAATGAATAATTTGTATTGGACAAACGGAATGAGCTAGAATTCCAAAATTTGGAATGAGAGTCACATATGGAGTGCAGGATACATGTACCAAAGGTTACGAAAAGTTCTAAAATGGTACATAAAATTGAATATGGTACCACTTGGTATTATGTGAATGGTCAAAGGCTGGAAAGTATGTAAATCAAAGCTGGAAAGTAAAACAGTTTGGCTTAGGATGAACGGATCAAGTTGGAATGTTGAAATATTGTATTGGGGTCCCTGTTGACGGTAGATTTGCGATAAAGAATTGGTTTTGGAAATGTGTAGTATAAATACTAAATAGTACTATATCAGGTACAATTTGGTATTGAGTGGATAGATAGTATTCGAAATCTGAAATTCGGTATTAGGGTCGTGGTTTTTTGGCATGTGGCAAGGTGGTTTAAGAAATGTGTACTATAATTGCGGAAAAAGTACTGAATGGTGGAAAATTTGGTAAAGCGGGAAGAAATAGGGATACAATTAGATTACTGATGTTATCTGGAATTGAGACAAGGATGCAGTTTGTAAGCGCGAGCTGTATTGTACGAAAAGTGTTAAATGGTACTAAATTTGCTATTATGTGAAGGTTTTGGGCTGGAATTCTCAAATTTGATTTTGAGGTCTCTGTTTGTAACTGGAATCGAGATATGGAGCTAATTTTGGGAATGTGTACTATAATTGCACGAAAAGTACTAAATAATAATAAACTTGGTATTGGGTAAAGAAATAGTGCTGAATTCCTGATTTTGATATGGATTTCATTGTTGGTGGTTGTGGTTAAGGTATGGAGTTGGTTTTGTAAATGAGTACTATAATTTAACAAAAAGTACTAAGTGGTACTAAATTAGGTATTGTGTGAAGGGATAGAGCTGGAATCCCGAAATTTTAATATTAAGGACTCTGTTGGAATCTGGAATTGAGATCTGGTGGTGGTGTTCGAAAAGTACTAAAAGGTACTAATTTTGGATGACTAGGATGGAGAGATGAAGATTGTTTTGGATATGCGTACAAATTGTTACTTAATTTGGTATTGGGTGAAGGAATAGATTTGAAATTCGTTGTTGGTTTTTGGGGTTTAGATATGGAGACGTTGAAATAGTTTTGAACAGAAAAATTGGATGTGGGTCCATTGTGCAATGGTTTTACTAATTCCTTCCCGGCAGAAGGATAAACATAAAAAACTTGAATAACAACCTTGAAAGTCTGAAAATTTGGTACGACGTATTATTAAAAAAATTGTTAAACTGAACATATTGTGCATTTTGAGTACGAAAAAGGTCCCAGATATCTTCCGATATTCGGTATTTTGTTTATTTCAGCGGCATTTTTTATAGGAATTGATTCCAATTTCGTATTTTAAGTTCCTAATGGGTACTACCGTCCATGGTAGAAGAATACAGGTAGTATGAAGGGTATATTAAGTTCGTCATTCCATTTGTATCTAATAATCATTTTAGACATAACAAAGTAAATATACTCTTGATCAACGTAATTCTACAGTCAAAACGAATACACGCTACAGTCAAAACGAATTAAGATAGGAAGCTAAAATTTTGCACAGATCAGTCTATTGTCTGTAGGCAGGTTAAGTTCGAAGATGGGCTATATCGGTCCACGGTATCGTATAGCCCCTATACATCTGTACCCCCGATATTCGGTATTTTTATGAGCCACATTTTCAATGGAATTGTCTGAAAATCCACACATGGAATTCTTACTAAGTACTTTACCCTCTGGAAGAGAATTGTTTACATAGGTCCACGATATTGTATAACCACCATATAAGGGTACCCCCTGATATTAGGTATTTTGATGATTTATGACACATTTTCCAATTCAATTGTCTGAAAATCCACACAAAGGGTTGCTTTTGAGTATTTTATATAAGTCTACGATATCATACAGCCCCCTTACAACGGTACCCCCCGATATTCGGTATTTTGATGATTGTAGACAATTTTTTCAATGAAATTGTCTGGAAATCCGTTTGTGGTCCTCGTCTTCGTAAAGCCCCCATAAAGCGGGTTTCATATAAACGGCATTTTCGACAAAATTTTCTTAACATTTTGCAAGTTCCTTCCAAATGGTGGGGGTATTAAAACTTCGCCCCGGCAGAACTTAGCTGCTTTTTACATTTTTTTTTTAATTTTGGGTTTTAAAGATACCGATTTTTGTCGGTAACTCAAAAAATGAGTTAGATCACAATGAGTTAGTCACAATTAACCCTTAATCAAGTATTTAAATGTATTTTCACAATATTTTCGAACTTTTATTAAAAAATCACAAACTTCAAATTTAAGAGTAGATATGTAATTCTTGCGCTTCGTTATGTTTAGGTGTAAATCATTTATATTTACGGGTTGAAATTTCAATAAATTCTTTACCAACTTTTTGCTAATATTATCACCACAAAAGCTAACAATTGCAGATTAACTTTTCGAATAATTTCCATTCCGTCACTTTAGCTGCAATTTTACGATTACCTAAACTTGGCAATAGTCTAATCGCGCACCCGGTATGATCACTTTGATTTGTCGGAACGTAATGAAAAAACGTTGCCGTTTAGAGAAAGCGTTTGAAATTATTGATCAAAGAATGATTATCTATTTGTTTGTCATTATTGCAATATTTCTTTATCACTGCAATTCATTGTTTTCTTTTGACAATAAACATTACACTCCAATCGTACCCACTAAGTCATTTGAGGGTTAACGAAAAATTAATCGTTTAGCTTATCAGCAGCCATAATCTTTAATAACTACTTGAATTTATTTCAAACTGATACCTAATTGTTTGGTGTTGTTGTTTTAAACGTTCTTTGTAGTCATTCGGATCGATATCGATTTAACATTTAAGTGTTCTACATGGCATTTGGAGGTTTACGACAGCCAACGACGTACAAATTCTACTTTTTTCAGAATCAGTGTACTGACATTGGAAGTCAACACTTCAGTGATGAGGAGCATAACCGGAAAAATCCACTAGAATATCTGTCAAAATGATTCACTCTTGACAACATAAACGTCGGAAAGGTCGAGGGAGCTCAAATTCTGACCAAAAATTAACCTTCTATTTGCAATCAATTCGAAATGGTGCAGTAGCGTAGTTAACGGAGGACATAGTTCCATTGAACGATTCATAGAAAAGAGCGTATGAACTAGGTCAGTCAATCTAGTTTTTCCTAGTTTACTTACCTACGATCAATGTTTTTTTTTTAATTATTTTCTACTTTATGGTTTGCTCTACATTTTCTGTAATTTATTTTTTCAAATTCAGTTTCAGGTTTCCATCTCTGCTTTATATACAATGAATTTATGAATATACATTTTGGCAATGACTTATTTTCGAAAACATACTTTGAAACAAGTTAAAAAGCAGTAAGTTCGGCAGGGCCAAACTTTGAATACCCTCCACCATTTGGAACGAATTTGGAAATTTTATAAAAATAAAATCCTTAAAAAATTCTTTTAAATTTTAAATATACCGAATATTGCCGTTATATTGGGGTCTATACGACGTGCATCTACATGCCATTAGCCATTACCATACGGTGAATAATGTAGCTAAAATCATCAAAATATCGTATATATATATATATATATATATATATATATATATATATATATAGGTACCATTATATCGGAGCTGTGCGAAGACCTGGACCAGCATAGACAATTTTCTGTCACAGGCTATAGCATCCATTACTAATATCAAATACGATATCTCAAACAATTTTGGTGGATATTCCACATAAACTCGTCAAAATACCAAATATAGGGAGGTACCCGCATAGACATTTTTCTGTCACAGACTGTAGTTCCCATTACGAACTCTAAATACGTAATTTGAAACAATTCCGGTGAATAATGGCGCTAAAATCATCAAAATACCGAATTTTGGGAGGTACCGTTATATGGGGGCTATACGAAGACCTGGACCTGCGCAGACATTTTTCTGTCACAGACTGTAGTTCCCATTACGAACTCTAAATACGTAATTTGAAACAATTCCGGTGAATAATGGCGCTAAAATCATCAAAATACCGCATTTTGGGAGGTACCGTTATATGGGGCCTATACGAAGACGTGGACCTGCACAGACAATTTTCTGTCATAGGCTGTAGCATCCATTAAGAATCTCAAATACCAAATTTGAAACAATTCCGGTAAATAATGTCGCTAATATCATCAAAATACCGAATATAGGGAGGTACCGTTATATGGGGGCTATACGAAGACGTGGACAGGTAGGTCCACGCGTGTTTACAACAGACAGACAGACGGACATGGCTAAATCGACTTAGAATTTTACGCTGATCAAAAATATATATACTTTGTTGGGTCTGACATGAGTTTTTCGAGGAGTTACAAACGGAATGATAATGTTAATATACCCTCCATAGTATGGTGGAGGGTATAAAAAGGAAACATATCATTGCAAAGGTTGCCTTTTTAATTCTACCATTGGTCTATGTATGAGTGTTCAAACTCAGTGAAAGATTCAGTGTGAGTCATGGTAGAAGAATACAGGTAGATACATCAACGCTTGGGAACATTGATATGTAAAAAATTTTAAAATGTTTTTTTTTAAATAATTTCAAAACAAAGTAGTAAGTCCTCATGTCACAATAGGAAGATCGGTTGTAAGCTATACGTCTTCAGCGAAGGCGGAGACCTTACCTGAACATCATTACCAAATATTTTGTTCCTGCCTACGTGCTAATATCAGGAACCACGGTAGGACTAATAAGGTAACCTCGTACAATCATATGTTTAAAATGTTGTTGAATTATACATTTCATAACATCTTTCTGTACAAATGTATATTTATAAATTCGTTCTATATATACACAAATCAGAGATGGGAACCTTTTTCTTTTAGTTAAATTTGGCAAAGTAAAGTACATATTTTTATTTGAAATGAGGTTACCTTAGCCTTATTAATGGTTAGCCTTATTGATGGGAGCCCTTTTAATACTGCCAATAGACTTAGGATAAGGTGTGTCTAGTTACCCTAAAATTTGTAACAATTGTTACAAATTGTTACTGGAAGTCGTCTGTTAACCCGAAAGTTCTGCAAAAGAGAGCGGTTGGAGAGAGAAATTTTGACAGTTCTTTCAGTGAGAGTTTGCAAATTCTTGCTGGAAAAATTTCTTCTTGCAATCGCTTGCAACTCTTCTTCTTCTCATTCATCGACATTCAATCAGATGTTTTCTATTGTTTGTTTATTTATTTTTGTGCTTTCAATTTGAAAATATTTTTTTGGAATTAGCAAGACTAATAGTTTTTGGAGAACAACTTTACAAAATGTGAAAAACGTAAATGTTAATATGTAATAAGAAAATAAAAGACTATTTTCAACATTTTTATTTAAAAAACTTGTAAAATTAGTATTGCTTCCTTTGTTTTAATTCTCCTTATGGGGGACAAATTGGTTTGTTTTGACAAATCAGCTGATTAGTTGCAAGCTTCTGCAGGAATACCGTCTGTTTACTTTTCGCATTTTCCTTGCAAAAGAGCATAAAACTACCTTACTCTCTCAGAAAGAAGTTACTGGACAATTCCTGCAGGAAAAGTAACCAGACACACCTATAGTTAGAACTTATTGAAATAACGCAGCTAACAATTTTTCCTGGGGCTTTGATGTCTGATTTTCTGTCTCTCCAGAAAAGTTTCCGAGTAATCTGCGCAAAATCGGCTCTTTTGTTTTGTAAAAAAACAAAGCATAAAAGAAAAAAAACCAGCTTCACAGCACAGAGTTAACTCTTTTTTTGGCAAGATTTTCTAGCGTTTCTCCAGAAAAGTTTCCGAATAATCTGCATATACTCGTTTCTTTTGTTTCGTTTGGAAAAAAATAATAATAAAGTAAAAATACGGCATTAACAAAGAGCTCGAGACTTTTTTGTACCGTTCTTTCCGAAAAGTTTCCGAGTACTCTGCACATACTCTGTAGAAATGATTTGAAACATTTTATGTATACCACTTTTGTTGTTTCGGTTTTTTATTTATGATCAGTTTTTCTTCAGCATTTGAACAGAGCAGATGCGCAGTAAATTAAAAGTGTCGAAAAAAATGGTTATAGTGAAAATAATCATAATTATTAGGTAAGTAAGACAAATGTTAAAAACAATTTCCCGCAGTACTACAAAGACAAATGTTGAACTACAAGCTGACGATTTAATTCGCAAAATATTAAGCGAACTACGTAGGTATGGAGTGATAGTTATGGAAGAAAATGTATGTGTAAGTCAGCGAGAAGAAGAAATAGAAGACTTGATCCCTAGTATTCATATTTACCCATAAGAAAGAAAAAAGAAGCCACCATCCCGAATGTCCAACCGTCGCTTCAAGAAGTATTTAGAGGAAGCAATCCAGATGACAGACATTTTAAAGTACTACGATACTGTTTATATTGTAGGCGACACATTTAGCTAGACAAATTTAGCAAATCCAAAGACTCAAATATAGTTCTGCAATACCTTTTGAAAGACGTTAGCAAATATAAACAACAATAAGGAACAAGTTCAGAAATAAAGTGCACAATATCGAAATAGGCAATTATGTCTGCGACACGACATGATTTATTATATTCGGGGGGATATTGTGACTAAAGGATAACTTTCCCACATTTTCCGCTGATTTACTTACTGGCGAGTCTTTTAAGAACAGAGCTCAACCACAACATCTCACAAATATAATAGATAATAAGGGATATTGGATGTTTTAGCCAGTTTCTCGTGCACGTTGTGTGCCTTGGTGTGATGAAGCACCTCCTAAAATCTGAACGAAAATAAAACACCGGAAATTTATCTTGAATGCTTACCAAATTAAAAAAAAACAAGTAGCCGAAAATTTCAAAAAAAAAAAAAAAAAAATGGTTGTGAAAATAGGTTCCCTGGAACCATTGATGGACTAGATAGGTGGAAGTCTTCAGAGCTCTCTTGGTTTGTGTTGTACGGCTCAATTGTGGTTTAAAAAACCTTGTGGGCGATTTTATAAAACCACATAGTTCCATACGTATTCTTTGTGTCAAAGGCATATGCACTAAATTTAATAAGGTTGCGAATTCCATCACGAATAACTTTTTTTCTGGAAATCTCGCACCAAAATGCTTTTGTACGCTTGTAGACAATATAATGTGCTGCCACTGGAATAATTTTAACAGCTGTCGGACGAGTGGCTTAGAAATGACTTTCATATTCTTACAGTTCTCAAATTTTCTTTGGGTTTCTGATAGTTTTTCTTTTACCTCTTTTCCAGAATGGAAGCTCCTAATACAAACACCTTTGAGTTACTATCCTTATTAGTTCAACAAAATAAGACACTGCTGGAACAAAATACTACTTTATTAGAAACAAATAAAAAACAAATGGATGAACAATTGCAAGCTATGAAGGAACAATATACAAAACAGAACGACGATACCTCGAAAATGTTTTCATATTTTACAACCCAAATTATAGAATTGAAAAGAAGCATTGATATAATTCTGGAGGAGGTTGAAATCAAAAACAACATTAATTCACTGGAAAAGCTACGCACCACTAAAGAAGCTTAACATTTTTGAAAATAAATTAAAGAACGATTTTGGCTTTCCGAACCTTATGGTAAGTAAGAATCTTTCTACAATTTTTTACTTTTATTAAATATTATTTCTGTAGTAACACCGTTTCAAAATGCATTCCCATGATAATATACGATTACTTTACGGGATAATTACTTTATTAGGCTCCTTAAAGGTTTGTATCCTCATGTTTAAAACTATTTGATAGTGTAAATTTTTTTATATTTTATTTTTATTATTTAGATGCGGCATTGGAAACCCATATCAAACATTTTTTTACTATCCCAAAAATCGCGGCAAAAAAATAAACGGAAATAATCTAATTAAATTCTTTTAGAATTTTAAAATGCTACCTATTTTAATAAAAATCAGTTTCAGTAAAGATTTTATTTGTATTGAATTACTAATGTTTATGTTTTTTATATTTTATAAAGTGGCGATTTTCTAATATTGAAAAAATAAACAGAAACAATTACTTTAAATATTAAATCAAATTTTAGATTTTTTCCCGATTATTCTCTGATAATAATTCTCTGATTTTAAAATGAATTAATCGATTTTCGAATAAAACTATAGAGCAAATTCGTATTTTTTTCCGAATTTCAAGTCAAAAATCAAGAATTTGGGATTGATCATCCTATTTTCTGGTTTTCGAAAGTGTTGCCGAAATTTTCCCGATTTTCGGATAAAACTATGGAAACAAGCAAAAAGCAGCTAAGTTTATACCCTCCACCATTCGGAAGGAACTTGAACATTTTCAAATAATTCCGTCGAAAAATACCGCTCAAATAAAAACCTTTATATAGGGGCTGCACGAAGACGTGGTGCTAGATAATCAATTTTCTGTCATAGGCTGTAGTAACGCCTGCGAACTTCAAATACGAAATTCAAAACAATTCCGATGAATAATGTTGCTAAAATCATCAAAATACCGTATAAAGGGAGGTACCGTTGTATTGGGGCTATACTAAGACGTGGACCTGCATAGACAATTTTCCGTCATAGGTTGTAGTACCCATTATGAACTTCAAATACAAAATTTGACGCAATGTCGCGAAAATCCTGGAAATGCCGAATATCTGGAGGTATCGTTATATGGGTGGTATATTAAAACGTAGATCTATTTTCTTTCTATACTCTTTCACGGGGTAATGTACTCTGAAGGAACTCCTTGTGTGGATTTTAAGCCAATTCCATTTAAAAATGTGGCTAACATTATCAAAATACCGAATATCGGGAGGTACAGTCATTGGGGGATATACGATTTCGTGGACCTATATAGACAATTATTTTTATGGAGTAAAGCAGTCACAAAGAACTCATAGTGTAGAATTTTAGACAATTCCATTGAAAATTTTGCCTAAAATCCCGTTGTATGGGGGCTATACGATATCGTGGACCGATATTGCCCATCTTCGAACTTGACCTGCCAGCACACAAAAGACTAATCTGTGCAAAATTTTAGATTCCTATATTGATCGTTTTGACTCTAGCTTGATTACAACATACGGACAGGCGGACGAACAGGGCTAAATCGTTTTAGAATTTTACGCTGATCAAGAATAAATACTTTGTTGGGCCTAAAATGATTATTTCGATGAGTTACAAGCGGAATGACGAACTTAATATTAACACACCCTCTTTTCAGAATTTCGGACCAAACATCCGTAAAATTGAAGAATTTACAAAAATGTTGCAATTTCTAAACAAATTCTTTACGAAACTCAATTTTTCTTTCCGAATGTGTTCCAGGAAAATATTTGGCAATCTCACACAATTTTTTCCGAGTTCGTTCCAAATTCGACATAAGAATCGGAAACTTGTGTAGAGTTCTTTTCCGAATTCGGAGAAAAAATTTGAAACATATGTTAGCTGGTAAACCTTGTAATTATTCAAATCAGAGTCGCAATGAAACCAGACAAAAATGTACGAACGAACTTTTAAGCCATTCAAAGTGGCTAAACATTACATACGTGTGAATACCCGACAACTTCATAACTCACTCTCATCTTATATTTACATTTTCAAAATTGTATCAAAGTAAAATAATTTTGACGTCCCTTTCAAAATAATTTACTTTAACTGGAACAATAAACAATGAGGTCATTGAACGGTTCTACAATCAATAACAGTAAGTATTTTTCCCACTGGAAATGTATTAATTTTTTAAAAAGAAAAGAATTTTAACCATAACCCCTAATTACGGCACTGTCGATTTTAATGAAATCAAAAAATAATTACGGCAACAGTTGTTGTAGATACATGTTTGACATATCACACCATAAAACGGATGTTCGTGAGTCAGAGCTGGGAGAGCGAAGAGCCTGATGACACGAAAAAAAACGAAAAAAGGTTAGGCGTCACTGTTGTTACTTCCAATATCTCGTTGCCATGCCAGTAATTTGAAATAAAATTATTAAACTGTCTGTTAAGCTAGAAGCAGTGTATCATCACCATCGCCTATAAACCGAATTATTTAAAGGATAATAATAGTGGTGAGGTTATGAATATTAAAATTGTTTATGTCAACGAACGACATGGAAATATTTTACAATTGCATTATACCACAGTTGTATGTATGAGGGAAGTTTTCTGTATAAAACAAATACAAACAACATTTTTTTGGAACAATGCTTAACGATTTTATAATCATGGAAATAAGTATGGGTTAAATAATATTCATCACCTCTTTTAATTCGGGGGGAGAATGCATTCAAAGAAAAGACAGAAGAAAAATAAAATGGGGCGTAACAAGTAAAAAATCAGTAATTTTGGCCGGGCTGAACTTTGAATACCCTCTACCAATTGGAAAGAATTTGGAAATTAAAAAAAATTAAATAAATAAATAAATAAAATCCGTTAAAAATTCTGTTAAAATCTTAAAAATATTGAGATCTATACGAAGACGTGGACCTGCATAGGACCTGCAACTTGAAAAAAATTCCGATGAATAATGTAGCTAAAAGCCTCAAAATATCAAATATAGGGAGGTATCGTTATATCGGGGCTATACGAAGTCCTGGACCTATATAGACACTTCTCTTCCAGGGGGTAAAGTGCTAAGAAATAACTTATTGTATTGATTTTTAGACAATTCCATCAACAAATTTAGCTAAAATCATCAAAACATCGAATATAGGGAGGTACCGTTATGTAGGGGATATACAATATCTTGAACTTATATAGAAAATTGTATTTCAGTGGGTAAAGTACTTAGAATGAACTCCTTTTCAGGCAATTCCATTGAAGATGTCCCTAAAATCATGAACATACCGAATATAGGAGGGTACCGTTATATGGGGGCTATACGATATCCTGAACCGATATAGCCCATCTTCTAACTTGACATGCTTTTAAACCCTACTTTTTGCCAAAAAGCTTTCTGCCAGCCAAAAGACGAATTGATAAATTAGTTCCCAGCATGCAATTACTATAAGTAGTAATGACAGCACATATTCTTTCCAGCGTCCCAAAAATAATGACAACCACATACTTTCTACATTACCCATAATCAAAAAAGTAATGATTTATTCCCATAAAACTTTAGCCACAATAACTTACTTTTTTTCATTACATGTTGTACCCCGACATTTCTCACAACCGCATTTTACATCCGCTGTATAAAAAAGCTAATCACACGTGCAATGTACACCAATACATTTGTAATTAGCTTTCACACACACACATGTATATATGTGTATTGTCCTGTTCTAGTATCATCGGTATGTGAAACTATCACCCGAGTATTCCTGTGGTTAAGCCAATGAAATGATATCTGTCGTGTCTCATTCGAATTTCACATCATTAAAAATTTAAAGCGTTCTAATGTGAATTCATTTAACGTTAGAAGTTGATGATTGAACAAATTGTTGAATGCAATGATGCACAGCAAACATTTTGATCAGAGGTATTGTATTTTTAGTGTGCTTGAATTTTTACTAAAGAAAGTCGTACTCTTGTGTGAAATTGAGATTGAGGAGAATGCGCATATGATTGTCTCAAAAAAGTATTCTCCTGATATATGGAATTTTTGTTGCGGCAAAAACCAAGAGCTTTGCAGACTATAGCTGCAGCGTTTCCATTCCCCCAATTGTTAAGATATATGTCGTTTGAGATAGTCTCTGTAGTGTCTGATGTAGTGGGTAAAAAAAATGCAACAAAGCATTCGAAATGCCGAAATTTTTCTCTATATTAGAGGGGAAGACTTCTTGGTGAGAGAAAAAATCAAGCATACTCTAGGGAGTGAAATTCGCTCGAAATAGAATTCTAGTCTTACTGAGTTGTCTTTACATTTCGTCATACTGTTCGCGCATTTGTTATTTTTTGTACATAAAATTTCCTACTTCCTTTCTTCTGTTAATTTTTATACCCTACACCACAGAGTGGCAAGGGTATTATGAATTTGTGCATTCGTTTGCAGCATAGAGTAGGAAGCGCGATAGACCCATAGTTACCTTTGAGGATCTTTATAGTATCACTTTCTGACTCGATTTATAAATGTTAGTCCATCTATTTTTGTCCATGTATTTTTGTGAAGAAAATGCAGGTCGCATTTATTATTCGATTGAGATGAAAATTTCAAAACAATATTTGTTTAGCCCAAGGACGAACCCTATTTAAATTGGTGAAAATCGGTTTAAATTTAGATATAGCTCCCATATATATCTTCTATATATATATATATATATATATATATATATATATATATATATATATATATATATTATTTATTTAAATTGGTGAAAATCGGTTTAAATTTAGATATAGCTCCCATATATATCTTCTATATATATATATATATATATATATATATATATATATATATATATATATATATATATATATATATATATATATATATATATATATATATATATATATATATATATATATATATATTTATTATACAATTCGATGTTTAAGTCCCTCACATGCGTAATAAGTACTTAACAACAATGATATTTGTTTCCAGACAACAGATACAGCCCAGAAATATCATAGCCAAATGTTATCAAGATCGGTTTAGATTTGGATATAGCTCCCATATATATCCTCAACCGATTTCGGGTCAATTGTTCACCAATTGGCGAATATCCGCCCAAAAGTACTGAATTTTGGTACATCCGACCGAATTAAGTCTAGAAGTAGGTACATCATATTTGGAGAAAATCGGTTCAAATATAGCTATAGCTTCCATATATATGTTTCATCCGATATGGTGTTCAAATCCCTTGTATTCGTAATATCCATTCGACAACAATGATATTTGGTACCAGGTATCTCATAGAGCTCGGAAATACCTTTGCCAAATATTATCGAGATCGGCTAAGATTTAAATATAGCTCCTAAATATCCTTAATCTGATTTCAGGTTTATTGTGCAAATAATAACTAATATCAGCGCAAATGAATTTCGGAACGTAT